CAGAGGGTTGGCACAGGCTGGGCTGACAGCAGATAACAATCATGTGGGGTTGGCAGCACAGCTGGGGATGCATTGGTAATGGAACTGCTTAAATGATACACTTGGAGTCATGATGTGGGTCAAAGAGGGGAAGAGGCATCATATCCTATCAGCTAGAAAGGGCATTTGGCACTGCCTGCAGCCCTGAGCCCACCCATGTGCCATGGGGTGCAGACTCCAAATGAAGGCTGCAAGGCTTCTTTTTGCCACACTGCCTGCTTCATTGCTACCAGGTGCAGCATTTAAGGATAAATACCCCAGAAAAAAGGTTAATTCATCTCCTGCTCCCTGAACTTTCAGATCTTTCCTTGCACTTTCAGATCACTGACCTCCTACTAAAAGAACAACATGGGGCCCAGTATGACAGAGAAACCAGCAACATTCATTTAAATCTTTACTGATTACAAAACAAAGCAGATGGCAAATCAAGTCATGAACTCTGCATCTGCCATGCTTAATGAACAGTTTAATTACCTTAGTCCCATTTCTGATGCATCTCTGCCATTCTCAGCTCTGGGAGTCAGATCACATTGACTCCTGCAAAGATATCTCCAGGAACATGTGGTGTGAACAGTCAGCTGGAGTTGGTTAATCAATACATATTTAATCTCCAGCTTTTATGGTGGTGGCCTGAAGTATGGCTCAACTGAAACAGATTTCCTATCAGATCACATGAATGGGTCGAACGCTCAGAAAACAAAATGGGATTTCTCAGCCTCTTCTGCGGGCAGTGGAGCACTTGCAGGCAAATACAAGTAAATAAATACAGCAAAATAACAGCACGCACAGTTACATTCATTCACGTGCTGCATTGTGCCTCATGTGAGAGTGCTGGAAGCAATTAGGACAGCATACATTCACAAGGTCTATAACCTGAAAAGCAAACTGGACTCATGTTAGGATAAGTTACAAGGAGTTGCTGAAACTGTGCTCCACATTTTGAGTTCCAGTGTGTGCAGACAGGCAAGAGCTTCCCATGAAGGACCAGGCACCCACTGCAAACAAGCAGGGGATTTGGTCCCAGGTCAAACACACTGCACGTGCCTGGGGTTCTTCTTGCTCTGTAGCGTGGTTATGTCCAACCCACTTTGTGCACAGAAGATACAGCTAAGAATAAGAATAAATAACTGACTGCACACACACAAGGAAGGAGTGAAACGGCTGAACCGTCACAGCAGCCAAGTAACAAATTCAGATTGGGATTGATCTGTGACATGATGGAAAGCACACGAGAGGAGGAGGTAATGGCCCTCCAGAGATCCACGCAAACCAACTTTCTACCCTTCACATCAGAAGATTTGGGAATCCCCCTGCATGCCTTCACCGCTTTTCTCCAACTTCCCTTCTGCTGCACAAGATCCATTTGTGCCCCTGAAAGCTGCCCTCTGGGAACAAACACACCAGAGCTTCGTGCTCATTAAATACAGGCTCAATGAGCTGCTTCACCTCAGATAAAGATTTTCTGAAGGGGTTTTTCATCTCAGGATTGCTCCATGTCATAGGAAACTACCCAAGAGATTCAAATTTTAGTCATTTAATAGCAACATTGATTACTTTTAATAGCTTACACCAAAAAGACCACGAGTTGAGCAGAAAGCTCCCTGAAAAGAGAAATACTCACAAGCTCAAATCAAATACAGAACTGTGGGTAAACACAATACACAAAGCCAATATAGCAGCAGATCAAACAGGAAAAAAGGACAGGGATAGACCTGGTCCTTCCCCAGTGCTTCACGTATCTCCCACTGCCGCTGTGTTGGACTGACATCGTGTAATAAAGCCAAGATAAAAGATTTCTCTAAAACTGAGCAAAACCAAAGCAAAAAGACAGCACAACAGACAGCAAATCCAGCCAGGTGGACGTCTAACAGGGTGAGTGAATACATCCCATCAAACATTAATTTCTTTTTCATTACCCTAAGTGAGCAGACTGACACTCCAGGAAATGCCTTCAAGCCATCAGCGTCTGAAAATCTCATAGGTATCCAAGCCTAGACTCTCATCTCACTGAAAACACATCTATCAGAAAGCTTCAAGTACTGCCCCGATCTGCAAGATACACATGAGAAAGTGATCAACAAACACGCTCTAAAAAGCAGTTTGTCAGTAGTAATAACCAGGATGCACGTCCTGCCCCACTCCACTGTCAGAGGTGGAATTAATCAGGCTAGATCACTGAACAAGTATGTCACAGGCTGGAGAACACTGATCTTCCAGACAGTCAGGGAAGAAAGAGTTGTAAAGCCTCATAGAAGTACCCTAGATTGACAACTGTGCCTATTCCAAACAGTAAACCAAGTGGAAATGCCTGAGTAAGGTCAAGAAAGCCCAAAAGAAGCAAATGAGGCAAGGAAGCAAGCAATGGAGGGAGAAGTCAAACGCGCCGAAATGAAAATATAAGAGCAACCAAGTAAGAGTCTGTGGCAAGTAGAAAATGAACCAGACTGAACAAGACGGGCAATCCACGAAAGTCAGAAAATATTGCTTGAATCTTGAGACAAAATTCAATAGCCATAAAATCTGAGAAGGAATCAGATCTGCAAAGCAAATGTCATCTGAAGAGAGAATGCTCATAACTAAAATATTAGGTATTGCCGTTATCAAATGAAGAACAGCTTATCGTTTTCTATTGATCTTTTAAAATGTATTCAAGACCTGAGACTTCCAGGTTACAATTTGATCCCAGAGAACAGATAGCTGTTGCTGGATTAAACCTGCACTGTTAAATGTGTCTGAAGTCTTTCAATCCCTATTTGCTCAGAATACAGGAGCGCACTCACTGCCCTACCAGAGGGTCAAACATACACAAATGCAAAAACCACAGTATCAGAAGCAATGGTGATTCAATCATATATATAATAGTCTCTCCCAAATTAGATTTTCACAGTCCTATTTAACAAGACAAAGACTCAATAGAGAGAGCTCATCTTTTCCATTCTCCATTTACGTAGACAGAAGCACGCTGTACTACTGATGCCACTAATTAGATGATTAAATACCATTCTAGGTGATATGCTTTCAATGTAAAATAATTATTTTTAACAGGCAGTATATTTGCTCAATCTCATTTTAAATCACAATATCGTACTTTTTTAATTAAATGAAATTCCTGCTTCTGATTTTGCATGAGAGAGCAACCAGTGGGAGAAGCAGTGCCAAGAGGAGATTGCCAAAGTACCAGAATGCACGTACTCCTTCACAAAGGATCCTAGCATTCCCTGGATGGAATATAAATTTTCAGAGAACAGCAAAGTCTTTATTCCTTTAAAGCAGGGCAGTGGAGGAATCACTCAGCATACTGAAAACTTTCACTGACAAAATACGAGTTTATGTGCTGTGGTTTGATCAAGGACATTTCCAACTTTTCCTCTATTTCTCCCCATGAGTGGGGTGGAGGGGATAGCAAACAAATTAAGGACTCTATAAACATATACTCTCTAAGAATATATTAGAGTCCAATTCATTGCATGACAAAGTATTACGTGTTTTAGTCCAGTAATTAAAGAAGTAATGATAGCAAAGTTATTTTGCGTTCACTGAGAAAACAGATTTCTGATGATTACTGGAAATAAGTTAACAAAGGGAATTGTTCAGAAGCCCATCTGAGAAACTCCCTTCAGAGCTGAGCAGTCCAGTGCCGCACTGCACAGCTGAAAAGGCTGCAAAGGCTTTTTATCTGGTTCAGATTCACCTGTGTCACAACCAGCCACACCGTTATCAAACCAGAGCAACACAGAGGGTCAGCTGCTGCTCAGATGAAATGCCTTTTCTATTTCCAGTGAGAAGGTTTTGCCCAGCCACCCTGACCACAGTGCCTGCCTTGGTACAAAGGCAAAAACTGCTGTCCTCTTCTCACTTACAAGACTCTTCATGGCACCAAATTCTGCAGTCAGAAGTGATGAAAAAATATCCTCCTGTCAAACAGTTCCTTCCTGCTCCTACAGGCCCTGCTTACCATCCACCACAGACCCCTTGGCTCAACATGACACGGAATTAAACAGAACTGAGTGCAAAGCAAATAAAACCAAACAAAACGCTTTACTCGACACTGAAAATTAAAGCCTAAAGCACTGCCAACAGCCGAACTCCTTTTCTGCTTGCTCAGACACTCCCACAGCCAGCACCTTCCTCTCCATGCATGACGACGTGTCTGGCTTCTTCTCTCACCCCAACTTCTGCAGTCTGACCTTATGCACACACGTAGGCTTATCTACGTGAGCAGTTTGACGATATCAGGCAGATTGCTTTAGACGAGTGAAGTTTTGTAAGGAATATTATTGAAACTGAAGTCTATATCATTCTTACTAGAAAAAATTATTATTCCCATTGGGGAAAGAGCTCCCTCGGAATTTAATATAACATTTTTCAATGCTCTACAGACTTGAAAATTATTGTATAGAATTTCATCAGGGAAGCACACTCGATATAGGATAATGCAGACTTTTTGAAATATCCTATAGAAAGAATCTTAAAATGTATTTTCAATTTACTGGTCTAGTGCCTGCCATTATATCCGAACAGACTCTCAGCGTTAGAGGAAGGCGATTCTCTTACTCTGTAAATTGTTTTTCCTCAGGAACAGCTGACAAGGTGCAGTCATTTCGTTCTCTTTAGGGAAGGAGGTGAGGCAGCGAAAGCCTTTATAAATTCCCCTCCGTAGCTCAAAACACTCTGGAGACAACATGATTCAATTCCCTGCCCTCGCACAAATGTCAGGCCTGAGACTAAGCCACAGATTGCCAACAGAGCAGGAGCCCAGATGGAGGAGCACGCTAACAAAGCCTTACAATGTACTCGTACCTTCATCCCACTGCAGCCCTGAAGACAAGTTTCATGTCACTTCTACAGCATCTGCTACGCAAAGTCCCCAGAGTAACTTAGCACTACTGGAGTGAACACAGAAGAAACACCTGGAGGAAAGAATAAGGACACATTTTTACAGACATCATCCAGACCCTCACCTTGGTGAGCAGCAGCACACGTTTCTGCAGACGCCTGACCAGGGCCTCGTGCTGCTCGCGCTTCTTCTTCTCATCCAAGAGCTGGCTCTGAATCTGTAGAATTTCCTCCTGCAGCTGCTGTCGGGCCTTCTCCAGTATTCGGGCACTAGGGAAGATAACACAGGTTTGTGAAACCCTGACCATTGCCTCTTAATCAGAGAGACCAGAAAGACCAGAGAGAAGCACCGCACAGCAGCAGGACACCGGAGCTGCTGCCATGTCGTGTTACAGCTGCACTGCTGGAATCATTAGGAGTAGCTGCAGCCTCCTTATCAGCTTTTCTCAGAAAAAGATAGGAGAGAACCATGCCAGTGTCGGCCTTCTTGTTCAGCATAAGAGATTACTGGAACCTCGCATACGCAAGGCAATTAATTAATTGCGTATCTATTTCAAAATCAGTTTGAGAAGACAGCTCATCTTCAACAAACAACTCCAGATCTTGGTTCCTACTGCATCTTTTCCTTCCCCCCCCCCCTCCCAACAAAGTAAAAGCAAAATGGAGGTTTAGTGTGATCTGCTTTGAGAGAAAAATAATACTCATCTTGTAATTATAGCCACCACCTGCACTTGCTCTTTCCAGCAACCTACGTTGAAAGATAAATGTCTTCTGAGGCAGTCAGCATTCAGTTTGCAATGTGGACATGACTCTCAATTAAACCAGAAGAGCATGGCTCCCCATCATTTCAAGGCACTGCTTAGATAAATCTCAAAGAGAATGCTGCCTTAAAAGACTCTCAGCTTAAATTAAGTCCATCCTGAACTGCCAGGTCATTGAATTGTACCAGGGAAATTTATGTTGGAATTCACTAAAATCCCCAAGCAGCTATTTTATAACCTCAGAATTCCTCTCCTTGAAGACAAACGTGCATATTAAATCACTGGTGAATAAGGGAAATGTGCAAGACTCCAGTTCAATTCGGACCCATTCAGAAATGGACTGTGGAAATCGACTCCTCCTTGTTGTATTCTGGTGGGAAAGTTTAACAATGCTAAAGCTGCACTTGAAAATGGATAATTTAATTAGCAAGGTACCATTACATCCTTGGTTCTGTTTTAATTGGTCAATTAAAAAGAGAATCTATGCCCACAAACATTATCTACAGCGATGGAACATGAGGCAACAGCAGCCTTGCACTTGATGCTCCTTATCCATCACAACTCAGCAGACACCTCAAGTTCAAACTTGTGGATACTCAGTGGAAATACCAGCCTTGTTCTTGTTCAACAATGCAAGAATTCCACAGGCTAATAGAGATAATTAATTATCCATAGAATAAATCTGTATTTAAAAGTTTCTAAGAAGTCAAAATCTAAAGATGGCAAACAGATTGAGTCCTCATTTTGTGTACACTGGATAAAACTATGTGCTAGAATTAAGATGCCAAATGTCACAAGCACATACAAGTAGCTTAGGCAGTAACACACAGAAGGTTAAAGTTACCATCTTCTAGTATACTTTCTATAAACGCTGAGCAAACTGATGTGTTAACATCATGCTGACATTCAGAAAGAAAAGTGAGACATAGGATGGGTTTCCTTCTTGAAATAGCAAATAACGTTTGAAGTTCAGACCTCGAGGATAGCTCAGGCATTCAGTGACGTTCCTCTCAAACTGGCTTGGAAAAGAATTGCTTAAATACATAAGGAAAGTTAAGCAAAGGGAAACAAATGGGCAATTCCCTCAGCTATGGCACGGCACTTGGAAAGAACACCATCTTCTGTTTATATTTCAGACTGAGCTAAATGCGATGTTAATGTAGATAGAATTTAAATGCCAGAGATGTCTGAAAGCAGCGACAATACTTAAACTCTCTGAACTGACTCTGCTACCATAGGCTTCCTTAATATGAGAAGTGTGAAATTCAGCTTCCTTACAACTCTTCACACCGTGCCAAAGCAAATTATTGAGATCCTTTCTTCCTCTCTTGGGACAGATTGATAATCCTTCCAGAAACTGCACCAAATACAACAAAAACCATCTTCTATGAAAAAAAAAAAAAAAAATCCAAAAGAAAAGTTCTGTTCCCTAGTGACACAAAGCAGGATTGGAATGCAGGTACCCAGCAGCATCAAGTACCATGCCAGTCAGAACTGGGCACTTCTCTTCCCCACTAGTGACACCTATGGCTTTTCACAAGCAAATGCTTGCTCAAACCAAACATTAAGAAAAATGAAAAATAAGTTCAAAGTTCTCCATTCAGTGTAAGTGTGGAGAACTGGCATTTTTTAAAACCTCTGCCAGTTCAAAGTAAACCTTTTAAGCCGTAAGGAGAAAAAGTCATTTCTGTTTATCAGCCTGTTAATGTTCCTTGCTCCACATCCTAGTGAACGAGATGCCAACATCATTCTGCTCCGAGCTCTTGAGACTCTTCATATTTTGCTTTTCCCTTCTGTAATCCACTTTAGTGTAATCTTAATGATAAAACTTCATTTTCCAGAATGTTCTTTGAAAGACTGAGAACAATGGCAGCAGACAGTGAACACTGAAGCTGCAAGATACATTTTAATAATTTGCCTCAAAAAAAAAAATAATTACAAGAGCAGCTCTCAGCTTCCCTCTGCCCCAGTAATACGTTAAACATTACTCGAACCACTCCATCCTTTCAGTAACCGACTCACCACCTCACAGGCACTCAGAAACTAGGGAAAAGCAGAGGGGATGCCACAAGCTGTCTGTTTGTCAGCCTGAGAGGAAAAGCAGACATCTACGTGCAGCAGCAAAGGGACAGCTGGAAGAGAAGTGCCTGGTCACACTGCAGCTGAGGAAGAGCACAGCCCTGTGCACCTAGCAGGGACAAGTGCCAGAGGGGAGGATGGCACCAAAGAGAATATGCTGGGATTGGAGCATGGATGGGAAGAACAGCGGAGGAGCACAGGTGGAAAACAACAACAGTGCTGCCGCCCATGTGTAACAGTCACACTGCAGCTATCAGCACCACCACACAGAACAAAATAAAGAGCTCGGCGCACGAGCTAATGAGGCAAAAAAAGAGGAAGGGAAATTGCTTTGTACCAATATTTGAGGCCTGACAACTTGCATCCTTCTCTACGTGCCCACGCGTTTGTAGACAGCACGGAAAGTCATACACAGCTGAGAAACAGAGGGATGGGAGAAAAATGTTGTTTTTCATTCCAGTTCTCAAGTTTCAAAAGTCAGTGTGAAGGCACGGGTAGCAAGAAGGTAACTCCATGTGCCTTTCCTGTTGTCCAGTGAGGAGCAGAGCAGTGTGCCCACAGCCTCTCTGGAGGCGATGCCCTCAGCCTCCATTTCCAGTATCTCACCCTCACAGGGTTTCCACGAATCAAAAAATCGCTCAAAAATAAGCAGCTCCTACGTCACATTGCTGCTCTACCTACAAGTCCTGGGCCAGACTGTAATTACAATGAGGGAACAACACAAAGAATTATTTTGCTTGGGTGGAGAGATGAAATGAGTGAGGAGCGGGCAGATGTTGGGAGCTTTATTGGTACACTGACAGCACGTTTTATCACCGAGGCAGTATTTAATTTTACTCCCCAACCAGCAGCATAAATATCAGGCTCAGAACTTCAGTTCCTTCAAAGTGAAGCTACAGAACAGAAATAAGACCAATTTTATGTCCTGGCAGCAGCACGATTGCTTTAATGGACTGTCAGGAGGTCGGACTGACTCAGAGGACACATCAGGGCGCTCTCCCCCCCCAGCCAGGTGAGCACACACAGCACAGCATCCCCAGAGCTCTGCTGCCAAAGCACTGCCTCACCTTGGGAGGATCTCATCAAGCCCTCAGCATGGGATTTACACACTTTCTACATCCACCATCAAGATGAGAATGAAAGCAATGCCTTAATTTAACAATGAATGAGAGACTTCTCTGGCTTGTTTTGATCTTAAGCTGAAAAATGAATCGTTTGCCAAATACATACATCATTGATTTCTGGAAACTAAAATCTTTCAAGGGTGAGATAACTACAGGCATTACTGTCCTTTTTCCAAGCTTCTAAACCTCAAGTGTTCATAAGGCCAAAGCTTATGTTAATGACATTCATTTGGTAAATACAGCTTTTACTGATATTTAAAAACCACTGAACCCACGCTGCCTGTTGGGTGCTTACTAACTTGATAATGTTGCCATCTTCTGTAGAACTGGCTATAGGAAAAAACTGATAGCTGAATAGACAAAGTGATTTATAGCAGCTTACGTACACAGATCTATTAAGGGCTTTTGCTACATCTAAATATTCACTGCTCCTGTTATGAATCAACATTTGCATCCTGACCCAAACTTACCCTTCTGTTTGCAGTGTCTGGTAGAGGAATACATACCGAGTATCCTTAATGATGTGGAAGCAATTAAAGCAGAAGCTAGAAAACCAACAGTTCTCTACAACTATTAGCACGTCGTGCGTATCATCCATCTCTGGATCATGATTTTGCATATGGCATTTGGCAATTACAGACTGCCTGTTTTTAAAGAGCATTCACTGATAAGGATTTTCCACTCCTACTCTGAGATAAGAATAATCCGCACCTTACAAGTTTTAGAAGTTCACTGCAGAGAACTGGGAACATGCTACAACAACGCCTTACGACAACAGGCTGATACATTCAACCGAGCCAAGATTCACTGAATTGTTTGAACTGCAGCGAGCAGTGAGCAGAACAGCTCCATTCTGATTATTTCAGTAGGAGGGCTGTGCTCATTTGGTCCTTCCACAGGTTCTACTTTTCACCTGCCATGGCAGGTCCAGCTGGTGCTGAAGGTCAGACCATGGGCAATAGGCCAGGCACCAGACAGCAGCAACATCCATTCCCTTCCCCAACAGACCATAATCTTGCTGGGAACAGCCAGAGCAGCCCCTGGGAGACAAGGAATGCAAGGCAGAAAACTACTGGAGAAAGGAGACTGCTTGGAGAGAGAGGAGAAACAAAGGCACCAAGGAAGAATTTTGAAACAACCTTTTCTCCAGCCGGGATCCAAGCATCCTCCCTGCAGCTGGCTTTATTTACATCATCTAATTCAGATTCTACATGCTTTGAAGTGCTACTGCACTTTTTTCTTCGAAAACAAAAATCACAACAACTGAAACAAAACAGGGAATGAGAAAACCCAAAGATTGAAATAA